AGCAGTCAAATGCCTTAGGCACTATGCTAGTATAAGTATTATATGTATGTTATATATACTACATATAGAGAAGCTCTGGTGGCACAGTGCCTAAGGCATTTTGTTTTTTTGGTGCCTAAGGCATTTGACTGCTCACCAGAAGGCTGGCGGTTCAAACCCACCAGCCACTCCTCGGAAGGAAGATCAGGCAATCTACTTCCATAGTGATATCGCCTCGGAAACCCAAGGAAGGGTTGCTATGAGTCAAATTGATTCAACATTAGTGAGTTTTTTTAAACATATTACGTGATATATGATGTAATATATACTACTCTGTATACAATGTAGTATATGATAGCAAGGGGGATGATACTCATATCTTAAGAAATTAAGGCAATTAATCACAGTTTATTAACACTGTTGTTAATATGTCTAACAGAACTGAGGCCACATTTTAGCCTTGCATCTGAAAGTGATACTGCTGATCAAGAAGACTTGGATGTAGAAGATGACCATGAGGAACAGCCTTCCAATCAAAGTGTACGAAGACCTCATGCCGTCGTTGAAGATGCTGTGGCTACCTCGGGGGTGAGCACGCTCAGTTCTACTGTGTCCCATGATTCCCAGAGTGCTCACCGGTCACTGAATGTTCAGCTTGGAAGGATGAAAATAGAAACTAATAGGTAAGTCCTACTCTGATGTAGGCGTCCCTGGGTTGTACAAAATTTAATGTGCTCCAAAAGGTTGAAGGTTCAAGTCCAACTAGAAGCACCTCAGACGAAAGGCTTGATCTACTTCTAATAAACCAGGATCTACTTCTAATAAACCAGTCATAGAAAACCCTACAGAACACAGTTGTTCCATGACACACGTGAGGTTGCCATGAGTCCGAGTTGACTTGATGGTAGCTGATTTTATTTTGACATGGGTGAGTTTCTTTTTTCTTACTTTTATAAAAGTGTATTGGTCTCCTGTAAAAGTTTGGTCTATGGAGTATACAAAATATGATTCCTTTATTCCATTCATGTCAACTTGGTTCAGTGCCTTCCTTTATAAAACAAGAGAGATGTGTCTCAGTCTCTTTAGTTCAAAACCACTTTCTGCTTCTCCCAATTCAGAGTTCCCTGAGTACCATTTCTCTGAGCACAGCTTTATCTCCAAGTGCACTGCGATTTTCAGAGTAACTTAGTTGTAACCTCATACATCCTGTCGTGGGAACAGATGCAGGGCAGCATGTACCTTCCCACAGATAGTTGGAAGATGTAACAGAAAGTCCATGATCTGAAGGTCTATGATTTGGAATAGAAAGTTCTTTCAAGAGAGGAAGATCTCTGTGCTTGAAGGAGCAAACGGATGAGGCTAAAGCTTTGCATTTTAGAACGTTGAAAGGATGATCAGGTTATGATTATTTATAATTTTAGTTTATTTTGAACATCTGTGACATCTAGAATTTAATTTGTCTTTGAGAATTTGGTAGCACAGAACTCACATGATCAGGTCATTAAGCAAACAGTAAATACTTCCTGTTCTTCACAGATGTTAGCACAGTTCAAGGTCTCAATCTATATGATTTATAGCTTCCTGTGCTGGCTACAGTTGGCAGGTGGGCAACTGACTTTATGACTTTTGATTTGCAGTGAAAACTTTTTTTTTTT